AATTTTGAGCTTTTTTCGCTGAAAACGCTTCGCGCTAAAAGAGAATCATGTTTGAAAATGGCGCCGATAATAACGTCAGCATCGGTTTTCAATCACTTAGAACTTTTTTAGTAAACTTTTAAAAAGTTTAGTAAACTAACAGGATGTTGGTAATACCCTAAACTTTCGATAGTGAAAGTAGCAACCTTAACTTTGAAGTATTTCGGTTAACTTTTGCAAATTTCACTCTTTTGACCGCTGTGAAAGGATATGGCTGGTTTACCGTTGCTCACATTTTTTACGGGGCGGGGGGTGGGGAGAGTAGCACATTTAACGCAAAACAATGTTGCGCTGCAGAAAGTCTTTTTCTTTCTTACAGTCGGAACAAGTTTGAATTAAGCTTTTATTTTAAAAGTTCTGTTATTTCCTATTGAGGTTAATCAATAGGAATTTGTTTAGTTGTAGTGAATGTTTATGTTTATTAGCTTTTTTGGAAAAAAGTATGTCAGTGTCGTTGTAGTATTTTGTTTCGGAAAATTTTGATCACTTTGAAAATGAGTTCGTATAAAATTTCCCATTAATAAGGTAGACTATTTTAAACTGAGGAGGGAAAAGGAAAAACCTGTTATCGGCACAAGTATTCATTGACAGATTTGATTCTTTTGATCCTCTTTACTTGAATGAGCCCTATTTAATGGGATAAAAACTGAAATTTACAATAGCTTCTTTAATGTACCCAGTCAAGAAATTATAACCCTTTCCCATTTTATCAATCTATGTCAGGCTATATTCGGCACTCCAAATTAGAGCCAACGTAACTCAGCTGAGACGAAGAGAGAAATTGTGAAAAATAAGTGACTTAGACCGGATTGGAAATTAGGAATCAGAAATCTGAATACGGGATCAAAATTTACAGAGGGGCATTGAATTAATGTAATTTTGTTTTGTCATTGTTTCGCTGTCCTTGTAGCCTGCTTTCAGCAGGCGCCGGCTTTTTTTATTTGGGCGAAGGGAGATTTCGACGACGTGCGCGCATGACGGAAGAAATGGGGAGGATGCCCCCTCTCCCCTTCGCACGTTCCCATCTCGCTCTCTATAACAACTAACCAAAAGTTTAAAACTTGTGCCTGTCACACAAGCCATGTCCTTGGTCTAAAAACGCCCATTTACTTTTAGCCTGAGTGAAGGCACGACCAAAGACGAGTTTTAAGAGTTGGTTGATTAAAGGGTGGGTGGGTGGGGGGATGATCAGGCTCTTTATTTGCCCTTGGTCTTTAGGAGCTGATTTTAGACACTCCTTCTCAACGCGCTCTGCAATAGCTGGCTTCCGTATGTATGCTTTGGGAAGCTGATTTGTTACAAGCAAGAAAAGGTATTTAAATATTCTATATTTAACTACAGATGTGAGCGCGCTATTTTAAATATATAGGTTTTCATTGAACTGCAACTTTTTAAAATTGTACTTTGAACTGATTGTTTTGTCGTAATTTGTACTACCTGTCGCAATTTTAACAACTTTGTCGTAATATGTATAAGAAAAGCTGACGTAATTTGTTTATACCGATTTAATCAAAAGGCAGGCTTGTTTTTCCGGTGGTTTTTGATCGTCAAGGGGACAGTGAAAGGTTGGTCAGAAAGGGCGCAAGTGATTTCAGCCCTTTTTCAGGAATAACCTGTTAACTTTTTTGAAATAACAAGTAATTAACTTGGGCGAGCGATCTCAGACTCCTGTAAAGAGTTTAAAATTTTAATGCAAGTTTACAAAACTAATCAGTAATTTTCGCACCACTTTTCCGCTGACCACCTGCTTTGGGAGAAAACAGGCCATAAATATATTTATTTGCCAAAGTTAATTATAGTTATGGTAATAATAACAATATTGATGCTAATAGGAATAGATAAATCTCCAATTTGTCTTTCATGCTGTTTCGTTTCTTGTTCAGTCACCCCGATGGAGGGGTGGAACAATTTTGGACCAACTCCCCTCTCTCTAACCGTGTTTGTTCCTTATAATTTCAATTTTGGAAGCAAGGACCAACGTTGCAAAAAAGAAGAACTGGATCCTAATAAAGGATCTACTCAGCTGTAAGTGGAAATATCGAACAAAAGAAGCATGGCTGATTTTACAGTCGGGAATATATATTTTTTGTTATCAATATCTCTGAAGGCACGGCCTTCTTTCTTCAGGATCTTACATACAGTGATAAGGTTAAGCTTAGACGTACAAATTCTACTCTACAGGTGAAACCAGATCGACCTATCACTCATCACATCGACTGTAACTCTTAAAACGTCATTTACATGGTACAATGCAACCACTGCCATAAGCAGTACATCGTTAAAGACCGTTTCAACGAACACCGCAGACCATTTGACAATCCATCTAATATCTAAAAAACCCAACACTGTCTCAGAACATTTTCTTATTAATGATCACTCAGCTAAAGACATTACACTTATTTTACTAGAACTCATTAAATCTAATAGAGACAGTGTACGAAAAGCTAGAGAAGCATACCTCATTGATAGAGGCAAAACTTTTGAACCATTAGGTATTAATAAGAAAGATGAAATGTAACACATTCCTTACTTCTTCCATTTGTATTTATTTATACGATTTTTACATTTTAAGTTTCTTTCATATCACTACTTCAACGGTTTTTGTTTTCATAGCGGAGCTCCTTGCGCGCGCGAAGCGCGCGCGAGCGGAGCACCATAATTAAGATAATTTGGTAAACTGTCCATCCGAGAAATTTTGGTTATGACGTCAGCGTACGTCCGTCCGTACGGACTTTCCGGGTAGTGGAAAGTAGTCCGCATGGACTCTTGGGGTAGAGGAAAGTAGAGATTTTTTGGCGGGAAATCGCATGGAGCAACGTCGCGCAATTATATCGCGCAACTGGTTTTGAAAAAAGAAATTTCAAAGCAACTTAGCAAAAAGATTTTTCGACAGAGCCTTTATAACTTTTCATTACAACTTACGAAAGCTATTATGTCAACAAACAACAGCAGAGAGATTTTAGCGTGTAGACGACAGGTTTTAAGCAGAGAGCAAAGAGAAGGTGAACGGCAGAGAGCAAGATTCAACACGCGTAGAACAAGCGAAGACGATCGCCAATGAGAGCGCGTTAGAAGTAGAAGAAGAAGACAAAAACTGGTTTTGAAAAAAGAAATTTCAAAGCAACTTAGCAAAAAGATTTTTCGACAGAGCCTTTATAACTTTTTATTACAACTTACGAAAGCTATTATGTCACCAAACAAAAGCAGAGAGCTTTTTAGCGTGTAGACCACTGAGGTTTTAAGCAGAGAGCAAAGAGAAGGTGAACGGCACTGAGCAAGAGTCAACACGCGTAGAGCAAGCGAAGACGATCGCCAAAAAGAGTGCGTTAGAAGTAGAAGAAGAAGACAAAATTTTAGCGAAGAAAGTCGGCAAGTAGAAAGAGTCAGGGTGAGAAGAAGGAGAAAAGATTATAGTGAAAAACGCCGGCAAGCAAAACTAGACAGAGCTAGAATGAATAGACAAAGGTAACGCGAAAGAGAAATACAAAGGCAAAGAGAACGGCAGCAAAATAATGACATGATGACAGAAAGTGTTGAGTTAATGTCACTATGGCCCGCGCTATTAACATTTTGATTTCAAAGTGATCTCGGACGCGAAAATTCAGCCAGTCATTTAAAAATACAAGCAGGGAAGACAGAGGCACGCGTTGATCACGCTCTACGACCGTCCAATTTTTATGCTGTGATTGGTCAAAATTTGACAGGTTAGTTCATGCAGAAAATTTATACAGCATCTTGAAACTTGTTTATTTTGACAGCTAAAGCTGACAGAGTTTTTTGTCAACTTGTGATGTTTTTTACTGTCTTTTTCCACTGGATGCATAAAATGAAATACAGCTGCCATCAACAGTCTTCTATTATTCATGGCTGGTTTGTTTATTGAATTTCTGGTTGAGAAATGGGCCACTTGTCAAAGTTGGAAATCCGATTTCGGATGACATCGTTTTCGTTTTTCACCTTGCTGGATGCGGGTTGAAAAGTCCCTCAAGCGATTCTGGCCTTACTTGATAGCTTTCGGGAGCTGCATCTCGAATGGTAAGCCTGAGTAATTATTGTATAAAGAGTATGTGTTTGTTTTTTTATATCTGATTTCATGAAGTCTAGTGCAGTTTATGAGGCTAGTTTATGCACGTTTGTACTAAGATCTGAGACAATAGGGCCATTTATACGAGGAAAAATAAGACGCGTCTTACATAAGACGCGTCTTAAAGAAGACGCGAACTTTCTGTATAAACGGTACATTTTGTCTAAAATAAGACGCGACTTAGCTAAGACGCGTCTTATTTTAGACAAAATGTACCGTTTATACAGAAAGTTCGCGTCTTATTTAAGACGCGTCTTATGTAAGACGCGTCTTATCTTTCCTCGTATAAATGGCCCTAATGATCTGATCTCGTATGACGTTTGATGTAAGCTTACAGAGCTTTAAAAAGCCTTTAGTCGATATTTTCTCTAGGCAAATAGAAAGAAAAAACGTTCCGAAGAGTATTTAGTTATAATTTTGGCTGTAGAAAGAAAGCTTTGAGCGATTTTCTTGCCTCGAGTTTATCTTTGAAAACAGTAAACACCAGCAAGCCGGCTAAAAGCTTGACTCAGGATTTTTACACACGCTTTAGTACTTGTCTTCGTGAATGAAAATTGTTGTCTCTTTAAATGTTTCACCGAATTACATTTCTTTTATTGATTGTTAGTAGTCTCTTCCAATTTTACTCGCTTTACAGTTTGTTTTCAGTTTTTCATAAGCATCTCTTGCAGGAGCACTCAAAATGCCGCGCGTATCAAACGATTACACATCGTTATAAAACCATTAAATTAAAAAAAATAAACACAGTAAATTCTTTATTATGTTGAAGCGTAACTCTTTTAATGTTCCCTGAAAATTTGGCGCTTGTCAAAAGTGGGAACCGGCTAGCCGTATAGATGATTTTGGAAATTTTTTGAACGGTTTTGCTAAAAGCCCACGCGTGCTTCGTACGGTTCTTAATATTGAATGGGTTAAATTTGTCTTGAAAAGTTGTGAAATACTGCGTTTTTTCTGAGGTCTGTATGATAAAACTGCGCCTCATATTACTGTTTCACCTCAGATGTGATGTATAAAAAGTATGAAATGTTGGTTTACCGGCACCCCGAGTTGTTAGCAAGATTTTGTTGAGTAAACTTGTCGAACGCAAAAATTCGGCCTGATTTGTTTTCCAAGAATTCGTTCTCCAGGCCTAATCTACTGTGATCAAGAGCCATTATGGCCCTTAAATGTGATCGAAGATGATTGCTATTTTTTCGGTGTATATATACGGCTATTAATTCGATGTAAGATTTTTTTCACTCTAAAATCACTTAGCCTTAGCTTTCCCTAAAAAGTCACAAATGTGCCCTTAAGTTAACTGATTTGTGGATTACAAGTTTATTGTTTGATTTAAATTCTAAATTTATTAATGGGAGCTTCGCCTTTAGCCCTGGCTAAATCTATGTATTATACTTTTAACGTTCACTTTTTTCTTATTTCAATTTTCAGGTGTTATTATAGTATCATATTGCACGCTTTCCTTTATCTCAAATAATTGTAACGTCTTAGCTTAACCTTATAGTTGTATGTGAGACACTGAAGAAGGAAAGCCGTGCCCTCCGAATTAATGGTAACAAAAATTATATATTCCTGACTGTAAAATCAGCCTTGCCTCTTTTGTTCGATATTCCTTAAATTGTAATTTGCATGTTCCTTCATGTATACATTCAGACCGGGGGATGTGGTGTTACAGAGGGTGTGATTGCCAAATCCCTATTGCAAAAGACTGTAAAGACAACGAACCTGATTGTATAAGTAAAACCATAAGAGAGCATTGTTAGATTTAATTGTTTTTCAGTGGATAAGGCCTTAAAAAATGAAGTTCTAAAGTACTGAAAATTGGGCAGTTGTATACAATTTTCTTGCGCCCTCAAAAACATACGGTCAAAAACCATATATAATCTTATTTCTGCCTATCTTTAAGAAGACCTTGGACCTTCAGTGTCATCCTATCAGATCGAGTAAGGTTTATGATCACTCTTAAAATCATCTTATCCGCAGCACTTCCACTCGCAAACCCAAACCCCCATCCCCCACCCCCTTCCCCCAACCACCACCACCCCCTGCTCCCCTTACATATATAATTTTCTTCTTTCTCGTAATCGTCTACCTACATTAGGAATTTGAATCTCTTTTCTTTTTTTCGAAATCAGGTTGTCGGCAGCAAAGCATTAATTTTTCATTTTTCATAAGAGAGCTTTATCCTCTCCTGTTTTTCATTCATATTTGGCGCATAAGTCACTTGTGAAGACTATGTGACAAAAAATCGCCTCCTTACGTAACTCCGCAGGGTCCGCAGGGAGACGGCGAATAGCCGTCGTCTCGTGAATATTCAAGTGGCCAGTGAACACAAGGGTGGTGCTTGATATACCAAGTCAATATATGCACTATTGTCTCGTTCCATTGTGTGAAGTTTATTGCGTTATTGTGTAATGGCTAGGGATCATTGTTGTGTTCTTTGTGGCGTAACTTGAGACTTGTTATTCAGTTGGTATATCGTCGACCAGCCGAACACAGTCCGAAGAGTCTGAACAACATGCTTTGCGATAGAGTTTTAACCAGTAACGCAACAAGCAACAGAGATTATAATCGCAGCCCGCTAAATAACTTTGAATACACTCGAGAGAAGGTCTCTATTTCATGGGAAAACCTCGATGTATTTGTCAAAGTTCCCCAGCCTTCGCTAAGGAAACGTTTGCATTTAATAAGTGAAGAACAAGAAAAACCGACAAGGAAGCAAGTCTTGTACAACCGTAAGTACCTCTTTTATCTTTCTATTGAAGCTTGTCTTTGCAAAGAACGAATAGGCTCATTTCAATGTTCAAATTTAATTCAAAATTTTTCTTTTTACGAAACTTATCGCCATGCCTTAATAAAGGACACAAACAAACGTCATGAATATGCACTGATTAGTTCATATCCTTTGTTTCAACGGTGTTCTCTAGACCTCGATAAGAATGAACGAAGTCTTCATAGTAAAATTGTAAAAATATATATTCTTCTTTAAACTTTGTCTCGACACGGCCCAGTTCAGCTTTGGTTGAAGAAAAAAAAAGTTCGTATACGAAGCAATATTCGATCGACTAGAAAGCGAAAGTTTGCAATTCAGCCAAAAAGGAAGTTTATCTAAGAGGGTTCAGGTCTGCTCTTAGAGATGCTTAGAGGGTATATTAAATTTCTACTTCCGACGAATGAAATCTTAATTTCGTTACATCACGGTTACACACTCAACGAAAAAAGATTTAAACAACGTTTCGATGTGGCAATGACATCATTATCATATAAAAGATAAAACTACACCGGACTTAACAGCTTAAGGTGACAAAATAAAACATTAAGGTAACAAAGAAACGTGGTAATAGTAAAACGTAAGGGGTAAAAATGCTTTACTAAAAAAATGACAGTGAGCGGGAAATTTGGTAACACCTTATTCACTCGAAAAAGATTCGCGGCGCATGTTAAATTCTTAGTTAAAATCTTGATGTGGCATCTTTATCGACGAAGTGCTTCCTTATGTATAATCGATAGTAAAAAAAAAAGTAGGTTCAACTAGAGTGTCACTTTCAAATGGTAAAGTATCGTCTGACGTCTGCACCCGACATGTTTACCCCATAACTACATGTGTCATGACTCCAGTCAGTGATTTAGTAATGCTCTTCTTTTTTTTTTTTTCAGGGGGGAGGGAGCAGAGATGTATGACTAGTGCAGGAGGATACTATTATCTTTCTTTTAATTACAGTGAGTGGAAGGATTGACGCTGGCAGTTTATTAGCAGTCATGGGGGCGAGGTGAGTATTTTAAGTAACAACTGAACATGAACTGCAAAGGATCGCAAACAAAAAGGATGGGATCTACAGCAGATCTGGTCAGCAAAAAATATACCTAATGAACACATTTCAAAGTTTTCAAAGCTGATCATACTAGTGGAGGAAAAATCACCTTTGCAAGACATAAGCACGACAAGATAGAATCTACACTGATTGCAAATGATGTTTTTAAGTAATTTAGCGCTTTTTAAACTGTTTTCTTACGCGCTTTTTCAACGATAAACGCTTAAAAGTAGGTCATCTTGTATTTCAGTCAGGAGCACCCAACAAGAATATAGTTCAAAACCACTTAAACATATTGTTAAACGTAATTTAGTATTTAAACCTAAGATATAGGCATAATTTTATCCCCTACAAATTTTCCATCTGTTCGGATTTCCTAGGTGAAAGTCTAGTGACCAGAAAATTATAGAGATCAAAACTTACCTTTTCGAAAATTTTAGTTAGAAAAAAGGCTCCCGAAAATTCTAGGTGACCTTTAAAGGGTAATATATAGATTTAGCCAGGGCTAAAAGCGAAGCTCCAATTAATAAATTTATAATTTAAATCAAAAAATAAACTTTTAATCTACAAATCATTTCCCTTAAGGGCACATTCATGTGACGTTTGAGGGAAAGGCTAAGTTATTTTAGAGTGAAACATCTTACATCGAATTGATAACCTTATATGTACACCCAAAAAATAGCAAACATCTTCGATCACATTCAAGATCACAGTAGATTAGGCCTCGAAAACAAATTCTTGGAAAACAAATCACGCCGAATTTTTTTGCGTTCGACAGGTTTACTTTACAAATTCTTGCCAACAAATCTGGGGGTGTTTAAACCAACCTTTTATAATTTTTATACATCACCTTTGAGGTGAAACAGTACTATTTATCATACAGACCTCGGACAGAATGCAGTATTTCACAATTTTTCAAGACAAATTGCACTCAGTCAATATTCAGGACGATCAATCGTAAAGCGAAACCGTTCAAAAATTTCCAAAATCACCCATATGGGCAGCCCGTTCTCGTTTCTATAGTGCGAGCTGTCAGTGTGGTCGAGTGTTTGAATGAACTTTAATAGAGTTAAGCGTAAACATAATAGCGAATTTATTATTATTTTTTGTTGTTATTTAATGGTTTCAGTTATAACGATGTGTAATCTTATAAAGCGTTTGATACGCGCGACATTTTTGAGTACTCCTGCAAGCGATGTTCATGAACGATGAAAACAAACGGCACAGACAAGCGATTAAAATTGCAAGAGAGACTACCAACAATGAAAAAAAGAAATATAATTCGGTGAAACATTTACAGAGATAACAATTTTCATTCATGAAGACAAGTATTAAAGTGTCTCTAAAAATCCTGAGTCTCGGCGTGAAGCTTTATAAGCCGGCTTAACGGCGCGGGTGTTTACTGTTTTCCAAGGTGAACTCCTCGAAGCAAGAAAATCGCTCAAAGTTTTCTTTCTACAGCCAAATTCATAACTAAATATTCTTCGGAACGTTTTCTTTCTATCTGTGGTGAGCAAATATATCTGAAGGCTTTTTAAAGTTCTGTAAGCTTATATCAAACCGTTCAAACCTGATACTAGGTCAGATCATTGACTCAAACTACGGCTACAAACGTGCATAAACTTGCCGCATAAACTGTCAGCGTGAATGTGCAAGACTTCATGAAATTAGATATAACAAAAACAAACATCAAATACAATAGTTACTCAGGCTTACCATTCGAGATTCAGTTCCTGAAAGCTATCAAGGAAGGCCACAGTTGCTTGAGACTTTTAAACCCTCTTAAGCATTAAGCAAGGTGAAAAACGAAAACGATGCCATCCGAAATCGAATTACCAAATTTTGACAAGCGACGCGTTCCTCAACCAAAAACCCAGTAAACAAACCAGCCATGAATAACAGAAGACTCTTGATAGCAGCTGTATTTCATTTTGTACATCCAGAAGAAAAAGACAGTTAAAAACATCACAAGTTGACACAAAACTCTTCAGCTTCAGCTGTCAAAGTAAACAATTTTCAAGATGCTGCATAATTTTTTCGCATGAACTCACCTGTCAAATTTTGACCAATCAGAGTATAAAAATTGGACGTAGAGCGTGACCAACGCGTGACCATGGTAAGATAAGGTCTTCCCCGCCTGTACTTTTAAAAAAACTGGCTGAATTTTCGCTTCCGAAGTCAGTTTGAAATCAAAATTCTAATAGTGCGGGGCCATAGTGACATAAACACAACATATTTGATATGAATCCTTGGAAAAAATAAACTTGAGCCTGCGATCATTTCAAACTGGTAATTTGTCAGCGGATAACTTCAAAAAATACTCGACCTCGATGGGTCGACACTTGAGCCCGCGCTACGGTCAGGTGATACTGGTCAGCGGATGCCCTGTTTTGACAGCTGTCAATTGATCACAACATTGATGTGAAATTAGTTTTCTCTTGGGCTCCCAAACTAGCTAAAATGTGAGAGTAAACATTGGTTTTCCTGTGGTGCGGACGGACGGTCGGTCGGCGGTCGGCGGTCGGCGGTCGGTGTACGGTCACGTGATTACCAAATTTTCTGGGATGGGTAGATTTACTTAGCAATGGGGCTCCGCCCACGCGCGCGCTTCGCGCGCGCGTGGAGCTCCGCTAAAAATCCGTTACAAATGTGCAATTATATCATTTTTTTAGATGTTCGAAAATCCTAGGAGAGGCAGGCAAGCAAGAAATTTTACAACAAATGTTCCGAAAATTCTAGATCGCAAATCGTCTTCAGACTGTCTTCTTCTTCTTCTTTTTCTTCTAGTGGCGCCGGAAAGTCGACCTTAATGAATGTGTTGGCGCAACGAAATATCGGCCAAATGGATGTTACGGGAACCGTGTTGTTGAATGACTGTCCTATTAGATCGGACATGACTTCCATGTCTGCATATATTCAACAAGAAGACCTTTTTGTGGGAACTTTGACTGTAAGGGAACATCTTACTTTTCAGGTGAGCGATCTAAAATGCTAAACGATTTCTTTTGAAAACCAAAGATGGCATCTTCCAACTTTTTAAATTATAGTTCTCTTAATAATAGAAGGAATTCGGAACAGCTTGTAAACAACTAGTATAAGATATCAACAGAACACTTCTGTATTATGCGGCGCCAAGAACCACTTGATGCTTCCGAGTGGGCATGGAGATCCCTGATGATGGTGTCAGTGATAAAGATAGTAAACGTACGCAACAGGACGGGGTAAAAAAGAGGAAGGCAAACATTGTGTGATATGCGGCGTGACAAAATTTAGCTTGAAAAACATTTCCTCCAAGTTTCCTTCCTTTAAACAGATCTTTTCGTAAAAGACTATTGTAGTACTGCATATATACAGTATATTTCTGTAATTTCGTGATCTTCCTAATAAACCTGATGAACACTGGTTTTGGCCAGTCGAAATACGTATCGTAACTACAGTCTTTTCACGTCCTTGCAGTTATCTTTTTGACAATATATATATAGGGCCGTTTAAACGAGGAAAAATAAGACGCGTCTTACATAGGACGCGTCCTAAATAAGACTCAAACTATCCCGTATAAACGGCACATTTCGTTTGAAATTTAGCTAAGACGCGTCTTATCTAATAACAGCCCCTCACACCTATTCTTCGACAAGACGCGTCTTTTCTAAGTCGCGTCTTAATGTGCCGTTTATACGGGATGGTTTGCTTCTTATTTAGGACGCGTCTAACGAAAGGCGCGTCTTATTTTTCCTCGTATATTTTATTTATACTTTTTATTAATTTTAGGACTGATCGCGATCGTTTTTGATTCAACGTTGAGCAAGTTTGATCGTACAAGGTTTTTTGCAGTGGTCTTGCACCTTAACGTTTCATCCGGGGAAATTAAAGTACGACGAAACACTCATGTAATAGCCCTTTCAGGTTTTTCACACGCAAACTTTTTGCCGTCCTGTTGCGTAAGCTCACTAATTTTGTCATGATAAAAACAGTGATGATGATGATGATTATGATCCTGATGATAAAAACGATGATGGCGGTTACGATGAGGACGGTTCTAATTATAATGATGACACCTTACTCATGTTCTGATTCATTCTGTTTCTGAAGGCTTCCCTGCGTATGAACGGACATGTTTCCCGTGAACAACGGATTGCACGAGTCCAGGAAGTGATGCTTCAGGTAACAAAACACAAAAAGTATCGTTTGTTGGGGAGGATACCCTAGAATAGTAATGACGATAATGGGGTGTGAATGGTGCCAATAGGCCATTTCCGAGTTCCCCTGGGCCTCGGTTTCAAAACGAGGGTAGGTGCTCAGCCTTTGATATGGAAACCATTTTTCATTCTCATCGAAATAAAACTCATTTTCACAAGAAAGGTTGTGCACCTAGCCTCCTTTCGAAAGTGAGGGTTTTTGGAACTCGGAAGTGGCCTATTTGTTAGTTTCCATCAGCCAACGAACGTGATCCAAAAGGGTCATTTTGTCCAGGCATAAAAATCAGTCAAAAATTATCTACCAAGAATACAACCTAAGAAGACGTAAGAGCCTCACTCCTACCTACCCTTCCACACTCTTGGGATGCCTTCTTTCAATCTACTTCGCATCCATTCCACCGTTTGGCGTGCCAACGACAATCAATGGAGCAGGGTCGTTGTTTCATGCAGAGCTCTAATTTGTTTCACTTGTGCTTCTTTCATAGTTTGGTCTGACTAAATGCGCTGATACTTTCATTGGAATACCAGGACGGCTGCAAGGAATTTCGGGCGGAGAAAAGAGAAGGCTCTCGTTTGCTTCAGAGGTATCAGTTTGTTTACCAAGTATAGTTTCAATTCAAGAGTAGACTATTTAAATTTCGAGATATGGGGTCGCGTTGGGAGAGGTACCGGTGTCGTGGGCGGTTTGGCTGATTTAGTTCGAACAAGACTACTAAGAGTCCTGTAAGACTGTGCCAGCACTTCTTCCTCTAAGAGTGCCTGGGTGCCTTTAAATTTCAGCAGTAGCAAATCTAGCGGAGGGGCCCAGGGGCTGGTAGGCGCTGGGGCGACTTGGTATCGGCACTTGAATATCTAAAATGTAACAGTTTACCCAAACGTCATTGTCGAAACATGAGCTTAGCAGCGAGTGCAAAGCAGTGACTGCCCGATAACTAACAAAAGCAGTGTTCACACAGGGACCCGCTGTCCGCTTGTGTACCAAAGTACCAAGTACAAGGTCTCCGCACCTTGGCCGAATTCTAGCATGGGTATTTGGTAAAAAGGGTGTGTTCACATTAGCACTCGGGCAATGTGCCGAGCACTAAACGTGAACGCTGGATTAGAGCCTAGATGACCGGGAACCCCTTATCTGATGATCCGGAATCCTCCAATGAGTAGTGAATAAATGAGAGAAAGCTGCGCATTCTCCTTAGTTATTTCATTATCCTGACCATTGGTCAGAGCGGGAATCACACCTGGGCTAGTCTGGATTGAAGTCTTGTTCCCAGCCAACTGAACAAACTACTTCATCTTTAATTTTGTACATCAGATCATTACAGACCCGCCCTTGCTGTTCGCTGATGAACCAACTTCCGGTCTTGATTCGTTCATGGCACAGAATTTGGTATCAACAATGCAGCAGCTTGCTGATCAAGGAAGGACAATCATTTGCACCATTCATCAGCCTTCCTCTGAAGTGTACGCCATGTTTCACAGGTACAATACGTCGATATGTGAAAAGAGGACAAGATGCAATAACTTATACCAGTTATCAAGTTATCATGACTAATTAAGTCGAAGAATTTTCTGAAAGAGAGGCTCCGCCCCAAGTTCCAGACCGTTGCTACTTTTTATACCATTTTTGACCGAAAGGGTAGCCCTTTCGTGTACCTTCTATTAATAAAAAGGAAAATGGTACTGAATAATGTAGACTAAATCGCTAAAAGAGAAAATCTTCATGTTAATTAGTTTAACGTTTAATAAATTGAAATTACATAGCAAGAAGGAGCGTCGTTTGGAAGCATTTAAAGTAAAGGACCGTTAAAGGACTTTCTACCCTTTTATATACTTGAAATTGCGAATCCCTACCTTTTGGTGTAACTCGCCTTGAAAAAAATGTCTCCGCCATTATAAAGAGTGCCCCTCCCCACCCTGGAAATTAAGTATGCTTACACAGGACTGTGAGCCTTAAGTAAGTAACATAAGTAAGCAGAAGATATTCTGACTGCCTTTATTCCACTGAAGATTTTTGAATTGATCTTAATTGTCTCACTTTCGCACTCGACAGAACTCATTTCCTAATGTTTTTTTCTATTTTCATTTTTTATTTTAGTATTTTGATGCTGGCTGAAGGTAGAATTGCCTTTATGGGATCCACGGAAAATGCCATCCACTATTTTAAATGGTACACTACGAAAACAGTGTTTACATGTTGAACGTTATTTATGGGTTTCATACTTGAGTTTACCAAGTTTAAGTTTCGTGCTGTTTTCGTTGAATATCGAGAACATATAGTCAGTTTTAAATGTATAATGCGTTTAAATGTGTAACATTGATAGAGAGTTTATATTCTATTGATAATTTAGTGAAATAATTTATTCAAAGCAGTAAGGTTTTTTCATGTAAGTATGTTTTGGTACTTTTAAAGGGAGTGACATGCCTATTTTTGCCATTTTCATAGCATTCTTTTGGATAAAAAGGAATACACCTATTTCAGTTAAGGTTGCTTCAGAGAAGAATGATGCATGATCCATGTTTCATAGCCCGCGGTGCATTATTATAGTAAGTCTAGTAAATTATGTGCCTGCAACGAGCCTAGAAACCTAGAAAGCAAACGCTGCGGACGCTTCTATGCTATGTCAGCAGAACGTTATATTTTAAGACAATGTATTTCAAAACACTGAATCCTAGGCTTTTTAATTTAAGACAGTGATTTGAGGTTAGGTTTTTCTCTGTGGTAATATGCAAATGCTGCAAGTTTTCAACGAGTTTTCTTGGCTCCGTGCACGTGGGAATTTTGGATGGAGTTTAAAAAAAATCAAATAAAGTTCAAGGCGTTTGTTGAACAGCAATAAAGAACTTAACATTACGTGTTTATCTAGTTTTAAGGCATTTTTTAAAAAACTGAATAAAAAAAGAATAGCATTGATTTGATTTATTGAAATAAACAGCATTCTGGCCCATGTAAAAAACGCAGCTTAATCAGGCGGGCCTATTCAATCATTTAATGTTGTTAAAAGAAATAATTAGTAATAAGTAATTTTTTTACTATGAGATTTTAAAAATGAAAATTTTCAGCTCGCTAATGCTTAAGAATTTTAGCAGCCATTGGACTTGAAAGCTCTCTTGAACGCCTTTTTACAAATGGTCTCCATTATTTCAATGAACGTGAACAAGATTAAACTTCCCGCTACAAAAGGGTTTACCATAGTGCACTGCAGGCTATGAAACAAGTTTCACGGGAGCAACCTTAATTGAAATAGGTGTATAAACAAAGCGAAATTTTTCTTCACTTTTCGTAATCATACTTAATTACGAACTTTTTGTTTAAATCAACTGGCAATGTTGCTAATAGTCAAATATTGTAAACTTTAATCTTTTTTTTTTCTTTATACGTCTGTAATGTTTGTTTTGTATTTGCGGTTTGTGGTACTAAAGGTACTATATACAGTATATGCTATGAGTACTACAGGAAAAGAATTGGCCTATCTATCGTCTGGTGATAGGTAGGCCAGTGTAAGTATAAAACACAAAAAAAGGACAAAAAAAGAACTCTGTACTCTTGAAAACCCTGTTTTCCTTTCATTTTGCATTGGATTCACATTCAAATTCCTAGGTAGCACATTACAATGCCAAAATGTCATGGCACTGCTCTTTTAACTCGTACATTGCTTTCACTCACAGCTTAGGTTATCCTTGTCCTGACAATTTTAACCCAGCTGACTTCTTTGTCCGTACCCTGGCCATCAAGCCTGGCGATGAAGAAAACTGTCGCAAGAGAGTTAAGGTTGGAATAGCACTGATTTTTTACACATTGTATAGTCATTTAAGAGTCTGTGTTATGGCTGGCTACTTCATTTTGTTCATAGCGCCAGTACAGGTCCGTACTTCCTATAAAACTTTGGTGAATGACAATCAAATTTTGGTGAATGACAAAATCACGCTTTATGTCTTACGAATTTGTCTGCCAAGCATTGTAACAAACGTTACACGTGACAAAAATGAACTTTGAAAAACTATTAGGCTAACAAGCTTTCAAAACCCACAACTGCAATCCGTTTCAATCTTCTTCAAAAGTTTGTCCATCCATGCCTTCTTTTGTATTTGCGGTGTTATTTATACCTTCCTTTAAAGTTTTGAGAGTTTTTTTTCCTGTTTTACTTAATTTGGTGGCAGTTCCCATTGTCTGAGTTTTGACAAATTTTGAGACAAAGATCTTTTAATCATTTGAGAAGACACACATAGCGCTTCAAGTGGCAACGTTTCCTTGAAAAATCCACCCTGATAAGGAAAACTTGTCGAGGAAAATAAATTTTATCGCTGTAAATGTATCTTTACAAATTCAGCCTCTCTGATACGAATCTTTCCGATCCTTAGCTTATCGAACAAACAGTGGATGGAGCTCCCGCCCAGTGTTTAGGAGGTCATAGGTTCGAATCCTGTCGGGCACTCAGATTTTTTCTTTGTCCCACGCTCGTGACATGCTGATTATTTCATCTTTACATTTGTTTCACCGAGCTTAAAATAATACCATCTTTCATTCTTTGACCAATAAGATTCATCTTTGACAAAACCGAGGCATAGTCAGTTTAGGGGGCGGCCTCCAAGGTATCTAGGATTTACACAGTACCTGGGCCATGTTCTCGAGCTCTTTTAAGTCTTTAATGTTCATAGTCAATTAAAATCCATAGATAATGTTTAAAGAAATTCAAAGTGAAATTCAATCAAACTTCTGCTTAGAGAGATTTAATGCAACGAACACAATCATCTGTAAATACTAAACTGTAAGGCCGGAAGCTCTGTCAATTGCAAACTTTCAAGTTCTCTCAACTGCACAGAAATTAAGGTCATAAGTTGTATCTGTCGCCTCTATTTTCTACGTACTCTGGTACTTCTTGCAACCTTTCTTTCTATTTTTTTTTTTTAAGCAAAATAGCCGAACCGTCAAGATGAAGAACATTAACTGTACGAGCTCATGTTGTTCATATATTAGCTATCTTCTAGGTTACTTGTTCACTCCAGCCTTTTTTTTTTTGTTTAGTTTTGTTTTGTTTTGTTTGTTTGTTTTTTGTTTGTTTTTTTGTTTTTGGTTAAATTCCAGACAATTTGTGATGCTTACACTCAAGAAAGTGCCGCAAACGAAACAAAACGTGCTAAAAAAGTTTTACAGGTGAGTAAGACATAAATCCGACCAAACTGGTTTTGCAGCACCGAAACTAAAATGCTGCCTTCTCAAAGCTACGAGAGATATCAAAATTGTTGTGTGGACGGTAAAAAACCAAGGTGGAAAAGACTGAAATAGGTATGCAGACTAGGTTTGAGGTATATCGAGAAAGAATAAAATATTTGACACTTTGAGATGATACAAAGCGTAATCCAGTGATATCTAGCCACATACATGTGTGCACGACAAAGCACTTACAAAGGGAGAAGCCGAGATATTTAGGACTAAGGTCATAGGGTTTTTTTGCTACACGTCTTCTCCCTCTCTCACAAAGCCTGACTGTAGCAAAAACTGCCTGCACCCTCCCCTCCCTCTTCAGTGACAGGAGAAGTATATTAATAAACTCTGTGGTAAAAAAAAAGAACAATGGCAATGACAATAGTGACTGAGTATCTAAACATTTTATTCCGTAATGGAGACATTTAGAGTTACGTTAATTTACGGCAAACAGCAAACATGAATTTGTACCACGTGACCAAGTTCTCCCTTTACTTGCAGTAATACGGTAACTACTGCATTATAAGTACATGGAAATCAGTATATCCACGCCAGTTTTATCCATAAGAATTGTTTTGAGCTGTTTTTATCAATCATTAATTTGCTATTTTGAGAATTTCTCAACTTGAATCTGACGTTTGACGTTTGCCGTACGCGTGACTCTGGCTACCTCTTTTTCGTTGCTGAAAAGGAGAAAAATTGAGTCATTGTACATCACACTTTAAAAATGAAGAAGACCTAATTAAAAAAGGCCAAACAAAAGGAAGCAGCCAATATGACTTTCTCTAGTGTGTATACTCTATTCACTCTTGGTATACGTAAAGAAAGGATTAGAAAAAACAAACAAACAAGATGTACTCCTTGTTCAGTTTTTTCATCTTAACTGTTGTTTAATAAGCATTGCTAGACTTCTATCAAACCTAAGCCTCGTGCTATACTAATTGATTTTTTTTTGTTTGTTTCAGGACTCGTTTTCTGGTAATGACTATGCTGTACGTCGCTCACCGTAAGTCGTTCCCAGAAACGTTTAAAACTGCATATCCTTCCTGCAGGATATTTTGTTTAGAAATCTCTAAAGCGTAAAGTAGAACACTACACAAACATTCCTTTTTTAGTTCGAGGGCGGATTTAAGAAATAAAATCCACTCTCATGTTATGAACCAAGGACAACCCCTCCAACAGCACAATGTCTTAATGAGTGGGGAACCCCTTACCAGAAGGCCTCAGATTCCGCCAAATAGGGAGTTTAAGCAATGACGTTTTTGAGCGACGCGCGTCAAATGGAAGTGAGGATTTTTCCCTTTCATGTCTTAACGCTACCAAATTTTATAGAGACGATTTGCCCAAAAATGCAAAATATCCACTTCCAGTTTACCTAGGTTGCTCAAAAAGTCTTTGCTTAAACTATTCTGAGTTTACTCTGCAATTAATTGATATCTGCGATGCAACTGTAGTTAATCGCCCAAAGTGTTTTAAATTCTTTTTAGGGAGCTATGTCATAAAATTCCGTCAAATTCATGCACCTCGAGCTAGCCAACAATTTGATCCACATATAAAAATAATTAATCTTAAGTACTTAATGAATTTTCAGTTAAATTAAAGGTTAAGAAAAAATGCTACATTAATATAGAAGATAACAAAACAACAATCGACCGTGGAAATATTGCGCTATTTTACTAGACTTATTAATTTTAGTTAAACTATAAATACAAGAAAAACAATAGCTCTTAGGAAGAAAAGTAACATATAAAAATAACAAGGAGTTTAGCACTGATGGAGTCACTACTCTGAGAAAAAAAGAAACTACAAATACAAAGTCGGACACAACGTAATATTCACAACGTCCACAATACAAGCTTTTCATAATTTTATTTTTTCTAGGTACAAGGTGTCTTGGTTCCAATTTTTCTCTGTGGTAATATGCAAATGCTGCAAGTTTTCAACGAGTTTTCTTGGCTCCGTGCACGTGGGAATTTTGGATGGAGTTTAAAAAAAATCAAATAAAGTTCAAGGCGTTTGTTGAACAGCAATAAAGAACTTAACATTACGTGTTTATCTAGTTTTAAGGCATTTTTTAAAAAACTGAATAAAAAAAGAATAGCATTGATTTGATTTATTGAAATAAACAGCATTCTGGCCCATGTAAAAAACGCAGCTTAATCAGGCGGGCCTATTCAATCATTTAATGTTGTTAAAAGAAATAATTAGTAATAAGTAATTTTTTTACTATGAGATTTTAAAAATGAAAATTTTCAGCTCGCTAATGCTTAAGAATTTTAGCAGCCATTGGACTTGAAAGCTCTCTTGAACGCCTTTTTACAAATGGTCTCCATTATTTCAATGAACGTGAACAAGATTAAACTTCCCGCTACAAAAGGGTTTACCATAGTGCACTGCAGGCTATGAAACAAGTTTCACGGGAGCAACCTTAATTGAAATAGGTGTATAAACAAAGCGAAATTTTTCTTCACTTTTCGTAATCATACTTAATTACGAACTTTTTGTTTAAATCAACTGGCAATGTTGCTAATAGTCAAATATTGTAAACTTTAATCTTTTTTTTTTCTTTATACGTCTGTAATGTTTGTTTTGTATTTGCGGTTTGTGGTACTAAAGGTACTATATACAGTATATGCTATGAGTACTACAGGAAAAGAATTGGCCTATCTATCGTCTGGTGATAGGTAGGCCAGTGTAAGTATAAAACACAAAAAAAGGACAAAAAAAGAACTCTGTACTCTTGAAAACCCTGTTTTCCTTTCATTTTGCATTGGATTCACATTCAAATTCCTAGGTAGCACATTACAATGCCAAAATGTCATGGCACTGCTCTTTTAACTCGTACATTGCTTTCACTCACAGCTTAGGTTATCCTTGTCCTGACAATTTTAACCCAGCTGACTTCTTTGTCCGTACCCTGGCCATCAAGCCTGGCGATGAAGAAAACTGTCGCAAGAGAGTTAAGGTTGGAACAGCACTGATTTTTTACACATTGTATAGTCATTTAAGAGTCTGTGTTATGGCTGGCTACTTCATTTTGTTCATAGCGCCAGTACAGGTCCGTACTTCCTATAAAACTTTGGTGAATGACAATCAAATTTTGG